ACAATTTGATCAATGGAATACAATTTGTAGTTTGAAAGAAAAAAAAATAATTTTAATTTGAATGGTAATGTGAGCACATAAAATGTAAAAAATATTGGTACATAATTAAAACAAAAACATAACAAAGGAAAGTTGATCTAATAGAATGAAAAAGGAGTTTTTTTTGAAATTGTTAATAATGAGAATCTTAAGTGATATGTTCCTTCTCTAAAAACTATTATCTCACTTTTACATCATATTACTTTTTTGTATTTTATATATTATTATACAATATTCTAAATAAAAACTGAAATAAATAGAAATACGAATAAAATACATATTGAAATAAATACAAAATACAAGATTTTAGAAAAATAAATAAACATGAAAAAAATATATGAATACAAATATATTTCTTAAATAACAATAAATTCATTTGACATACCTCTTGGAATGACTAATGAAAAAAAATATTAAGATTATGGAGAGAAAAAAAAGAGACAAAGTTTGAATTTTATTTGAAAATGTAACTGATGAGAAAATTAAGTAATCTTTACTTTTTTGTTGAAATATTCTCTCCCTTGATTTTCTCCCTTTTGTTGTTAAATAATTCTATTCTTTAAATAAAAACAAATAATAAAAATATAATTAAGATACATAACAAACTAAAATTTTGACATTTTTACTAAATATTGAAAGTGTTGCTAATAAGCCATCTTAAATGTTAAAATATTGACATTTTGAAAAATTTCTATTTATAACATTTGGAAAGTGTAGGTAACAATACTATATATAGTTATTATGGAGTATGTAAACGTTAGGAAATCTATAAGCTCACCCTGGTCTTCTACAATTCCGAATTTTGATTAAATTTATACTTATCTATGTGAGTTTTCGAAATTTATGGTTTAAAATAACTTTGTTTTTATTGTAATTTTTTAATATTTTTTAAAATAATTTTAGTTGTTAATATTAAGACTTATAATAGTTTCTATGTGGTTTTAAATATATGATTTTATTCCAAAAGCTTGGAGAAGATCTCCAAATTCATTGTCAAAGATGTATAATATGCATAATTGTAAGTTGCTACTTAAACTGAAAGATATTACTATTATTTTTAAATTGACCTACTTAAATAATTACTGTTAAATATATCCTCTTTGACATTATCAGTCAAAATTTAATAAATCTTTCACAAGTTTAACTTTATAGTAACATGTAATATACATCTAAAAATCAAAAATAATAATTGCATATTTAATGAATTAATTTGACTTTTATCACTTGTGCCCCTATATAATGAAGATGAAGGCCTATGGAATTTCATATTCACCTACAAATGATTCATCAATTTTTTATCATCACATTTATATCTGTAAATTCACAATGTATTATTTGATTAATCATCAATTAATTATTTTTGTCTTTTGAAAAGACACCAACATAAGCATCCATCAAAGTTTGTTAATTTCGTGGTAAGCTAATGCTAATTATTTCAGAACAAATCCTATAGTATTAGTTCAGATATAATAGTAATTTAGCCATTATTGCAAATTTTTCTCTACTAAATCAGTTATCTATTTTAATGTGTGTTACAATTATTTTTTTGGGGGGGACGCTGAAAAATTATTGAGGCAGATCTATAATTTAAATTAAATAGATTCAACTATTGAGATTTTCTTCTTTATCTTATATTTTTTGAGATTTTTTTACATATATTAGTATAATTTATATCGAAAGCTATGAGTTCAGATGAATTTATATAATCCAAGAACCTTAGGATGGATTATAACAATTCTACACTAACAATGTTTTCGGTATTAATGAAAAATGTTTTTTTTAAAAATCATTTTCACTAGAAAATGTTTCTGATAGTGTTTTATCTCTAGAAAATTACTTTTTTTTCAATGAGCCAAACACATCCTAAATTAGCATTCAATTATCTAGTTTTTGGATCTTAAATATATATGTTTTTTTGTTAATGTAGGAAAAGAAAAATGTCGATGGAAGGTAAAGAGAGAGTAATTTTGACAATTATTATGATGCTATGGTGGGGTGCGGGGAATTGTACGGCGTTCGATTCAACAGTTGCACAAGATGGTTCTGGCGATTACAAAACAATTACCGAAGCAGTAATTGCAGCACCGAAAATGAGTACAAAAACATACTTCATACATGTCAAAAAAGGAACTTACAATGAAAACGTCACTATTCCGAATGAGAAACCAAATATAGCCCTTGTTGGCGATGGTATGGGCGTCACAATAATTTCAGCAAATAAAAACAGTAAACAATATCGTACGCCTTATACCGCCACATTAGGTAAATCTATGCATAATAATAATAACATCAATTGTGTTTTTAATTCATAAACTTTTGAGTGTCTAATAATGTTATAAAATTTGAAAATGAACAGAAGTATACGGCAGTGGTTTTATTGGGATTTCGTTGACAATCAGAAATACTGCTGGACCAGAAGGTGGTCAAGCAGCTGCATTAACAATTGCTCCTTTTAAAGGCTTTACTTCATTTTATCAATGTAGTTTTTTGGGTTACCAGGATACAATATTTTCCTCAGATACTTCATTTTTCAGAGAGTGTTTGATATTTGGTACAATCGATTTTATCACTGGCAGCGGACGTGCTGTATTTCAAAATTGTCGTCTTAAAGCAAGGCCACCAATACATGGACAAGGAGTGAGAATACTTGCTCCAGGGGAAGGTAGCATTACTTCGAATCCGGGGTTAGTTCTTCAGAACTGTAACATATCAACTACAAGACAATTTAACAAGACAGAAATTGAAAGTTTTTTAGGTTGGCCTTGGAAAAATGGAGGGAAGGCAGTAATTATGTCTAGTTATATTAGTGATTTTATTGACCCAAGAGGGTGGAGTGAAAACCCACAAGTGACGCAGACATATTTGGCGGAGTATAATAACAGGGGACCAGGGTCTGATACTAGC